ATTTCTGCAGAATTCTTGCCAAAAATGCTTAACTGCATTGTAATCATGAGAAAACATCAGATAAACCAAACTGAGGGACAGTCTACAAAATAACTGACCAATAGTCTTCAAAAGTGTCAAAGTCATAAAAGGAAAGGAAGGAATGAGAAACTGTTACAGGCTGGAAGAGGCTAAGGAGAAACAAGGTGGGATCCTGGATAGGATTCTAAAACAGCAAAGGGTGTTAATGGACATCTATAGTTTGTTAACAGTATTGTACCAATGCTAATTTTCTAATTTTGATCATTGTACTGTGGATAAGGTGTTAAAATTAGGGAAAGCTGGGGAAGGAACCTCTGGGCTATTTTTATAACTCTTTGATAAGTCTAAAATTAGTTTAAAATAAGAAAGTTTAACTTGCAACTCAATTAAAAAAAAAAAAAGACAACCCAATTGAAAAAAGGGAAAAAGATCTCAATAGACTTTTCTTTTTTTTAATTTAATTTTTTTTTAAGTAGGCTTCCTGCCAGCGTGAAGTCCAATGGAAGACTTGAACTCACAACCCTGAGATCATGACCTGAGCTGAGATCAAGAGAATTATTATATGATCTCACTCATATGTGGAATTTAAGAAACAAAACAGAGGATCATAGGGGAAGGGAGGGAAAAATAAAACAAGATGAAATCTGAGAGGGAGACAAACCATAAGAGACTCATAACCATAGGAAACAAACTGAGGGTTGCTGGAGGGAAGGGGGTAGGAGGATGGTGTAACTGGGTGATGGACATTACAGAGGGCAAGTGATGTAATGAGCACTGGGTATATAAGAGTGATAAATCACTGAACTCTACCTCTGAAATTAATAATATACTATATGTTAATTAAATTTAAATTAAAAACCCCAATAAAAAAAAAATCAAGTGGAGGAAAAAAGAAGAGCAAGGAAATAACTTTGCTATGATTACAACTTCAGATGCACTTCATCTTAAATTATGCTTGATACTCAATCCACAGTACTTGGAATAATTGCGTTTTAAATTTTTCCCTCTGTCAGAAATGATATTAAGGTGTTGTGGCCCTTTTATATAACGCAATAATTTTCTGTAATATGAGTAATTTCACCCTCTAATTTGTGTTCAGTACAGATATTTGAGTATTCATGTTAATTATTATGTTTAATAATATAAAAAGCTAATCCATGTGGTAGTTGCTATAGCTCTAGAGAAAATAAAAAGAGTGGGACACCTAACCGACTGAGCCACCCAGGTGCCCCTGAATACACTTTTCTTTGACGAAGATACACAGATGGTCAATAAGCACATGAAAAGATGCTCAACATCATCAGTCATCAGAGAAATACAAATCAAAACCTTTCTATGACACTACTTTACACCCACTACTATGGTTAGAATCATCAAAAAGCCAAATAAGAAGTGTGTTGGTAAGGAAATGGAGAAATCAGAACCCTCATACATAACTGGTGGTAATGTAAAATGGTGCAGCAGCTTTGGAAAATAGTCTAGCAGTTCCTCAAATAATTAAACAGAGTTACCATATGACTCAGGAATTCTACAAGTAGGCATATACCCAAGAGAAAAGAAAACATATATAGACACAAAGACTTGCAAATGATATTTATAGCAGCATTATTCATAATAACCAAAAGATGGAGAAAACCAAATGTCCGTCGACAGACAAATGGATAAACAAAATGTGGTATTATCCATATGACAGACTATTATTCAGTCCTAAAAAGAAATGAAATACTGAGGGCGCCTGGGTGGCTCAGTTGGTTAAGCGACTGCCTTCAGCTCAGGTCATGATCCCAGGGTCCTGGGAT